TGTGTGTGTGCACTTTGGATGGGTTAAATGCAGAGCACTAATTACAAGTATGGGTCACCATACTTGGCCACATGTCACTTTCACTTTCACTTTCACTTTCAATGAAGCCTGATTCAATGATCTGAGACTGATAATTACTTTTTTAGGCAATCAGACTAACAATCAAAATAATCTTACATTGGTGGAGACATTGAACTTCCAAGCCATATTTAGAGATGAGAATATCATAGGGATTTTTTTGGACTCTTTTGACTTGAGCCTGATTGCCATCACGCAGAACTCCCTAGCAAACACCACGCAACATTTTAGAAACCACCCAGAAGCAACTGTAAAATAACGCTGTAAAAATCACTCAAGATATCCTAGCAATGCTCTGATAGTCACCCACACCTTAACATTGTGGCAGAAGGTTTTGCATAAACAAGCATGGCTCCAATTTTCTTCAAGTTATTTATTTATTTTCCCATTTATTTATTTATTGCATTAAATCTATTTATTTCCTTATTCAAATGTCAGAGTTTCAAACTGTTTGAAGTGGCTATAGCTCTTTTGAATGAATACCATTTATACGATTTTTTTAAAATGCAATATGTGTGGGTCTGTATTGCTCTGTGTTGACATAAGCTGGGCTGTTTTTGAGCTAGAGGTGATGTGTCTTGTCATGTGTGAATATATGTGTGTTCAGTGTTTCTGTATGTCATACAGAAGGTGTCTCGTTCTCACCGGAGGCATTCCTTATTACATCCTTCCCCATGGCAGACTCTCACATGCTGTCAGGCTGTGGTTGGCAGTGATCCTCTCTTTCTGCTCATCATCTTGTTGATGATGTTGATCCTTCACACCATTGAGATTCACACTTAATAGTTCTAGATGCACTCATAAAACCAGCCCGCAGACTCTTTGATCTGTGTAAAATTGCTGTTCTAATGACGTATTTTGGTGTGTTTTCTCCTAGGGCTTCAGTAAGGCTGGCACTTTCGCCACTGCCAGACGCTGACGTGAGTTTGGGGGCCTCAGGCTGTCGTCTTGGTGCTTTGATGAGGTAACGGCGGACCCCAGAAGCCCAGCCCCTGTGTTGCACCACCCCTTCCCTCTCTCCTCCTCCCTACCCCTATCCAACCAGCCAAGCCATGGGCCAGAAGATCTCGGGGAGCATCAAGTCCGTAGACGTGCGCGGAGAGCCATCCTACAGGCCGCTGAGGAGGGAACTGAGAGGGCCAGATTTCTTCAAGCCAGCCCGGCTGGACCTACTCCTGGACATGCCCCCTGCTCCGTATGAGCAGCAGCTTCGACATGCCTGGAACCCGGACGATCGCTCGCTTAATATCTTCATCAAGGACGATGACAAACTCACCTTCCATCGGCACCCTGTTGCCCAGAGTACCGATGGCATTCGTGGACGGGTGGGATACACACGAGGACTCCATGTTTGGAGGATCCATTGGCCTGCTAGGCAACGGGGCACAAATGCGGTGGTGGGTGTGGCCATGCCAGATGCCCCTTTGCACTCAGTGGGTTACACTTCTTTAGTTGGCAGTGATAGCGAGTCCTGGGGCTGGGACCTGGGACGAAACAAGCTCTACCATAACAGTAAGAACCGGCCGGTCTCTTCTGCACCCACATACCCAAGCTTCCTGGAGCCAGAGGAGGCCTTTGTGCTGCCAGATGCCTTGATAGTAGTGCTGGACATGGATGAGGGCACGTTGAGCTTCATGGTGGACGGACAGTACCTCGGAGTGGCCTTCAGAGGTCTTAAGGGCAAAAAGCTGTACCCCATTGTCAGTGCGGTGTGGGGCCACTGTGAAATCACCATGCGCTACATCAATGGCCTAGATCGTAAGTATACATTTTCTCTAGATTTATACCTGAATAATTGTTTGATACTTAAAGATCGTGCTTGAAATAGAGTTTGCAGATTTTTTAAAACTCACTTGAATTGGGTTGTGTTGGTGTAGTGGTTATGGCTCAGAAACCTGAAGCTTGCTTGTTCAATTCCATCATCATTTTACCCTCGAGCAAGGCATTAACCCCAAATTGCTCCAGGGGGATAAGCTCACGGTGTCGTTCTAATTAAAATTTGCATTACATTTACCTTGCTAAAAAAAAAAAAAATCGTTCTAAGCTGTTTTGCTGGTCTCCGAGCCTGGTCTTCAACTGGTCTTCCAGCCTGGTCATGCTGATTTTCAGCTAGTCTACGCCAGGGATGGCCAATGACGGTCCTGGAGAGCCACAGTCCTGCAGAGTTTCACTCTAGCCCTAATCAAACACACCTGAACAAGCTAATAAAGGTCTAAGGGTTAGTTGAAAGCTACAGGCAGGTGAGTTTTTATCAAGGTTGGAGCAAAACTCTGCAGGACTGTGGCTCTCCAGGATCGACGTTGGCCTACCCGCTCTAGGCCAAGGGATGCCCAGTCCTGTTCCTGGAGTGTTAATGTCCCTGCAGTTTAGCTCCAAACTGGCCAACACACTTTCTTGGAAGTTTGTAGTAATCCTGAAGACCTTGATTGAGCTAAAAACTGCAGTACAGTGACCCTTCAGGTGCAGGATTAGACACCTCTGGTGTAGCCAGTCTCCCAGTCTGGCCAAGCTGGTGCTTAGCTGGGTGGACAGCTGGTCTCCCAGCCTGACTAGCTGGAAAGTGCCAAAAACCCTTTAAAAATCAGCTAACAGACCACCTTGACCAGGCTAGAAGACCAGCAAACCAACTCGGGCTGGTTTAACATGTTTTTTTCAGGAGAGTACTCATTAGGCAGACGACGACTTTTCCCCTGGCAATCAAAACCCTGACCTTGTTGTGCCACGCTACAACAACACTGTTCTGTGCAAACATTGCTTGAGATGTAGCCATGAATTGTTGGTATTTCAACATACAGGTGTAGTTAGCCAGCAAGAGAGCCTGACTATTGCATCTTGTCGTCCATCCTGTTAGTTCAAGAGTCAAGACCACAATGTAAAGAGATGGATTCTGGTTCTTCTCTTACGATGTCCCTCAGGGTGCTTGGCCAGTGCTGCAGGCATGTATTCATTATTAATGTAAGGAACAATGAAGCACGCGATGGCAGTGGAGGCAGGAAGGCTCAAAACATTGCTAGTTAGGTTAGCTGTTCCCTACAACTAGCATAGCATCAGGAAAGGCTCTCGTTTTGATGTTCACAGATAACATGTTTATGAGTTTGGTGTGTTTATGGTTGCATATTTTGTGTGTTAGCATGTGTGTTTTGTGCAAGTGATTGTGCATTAGTTTAAAGCATCACTAATGGCATCACTAGGTTCTGTCATTCAGAAACATGGCTTTTCATATCACAGAGCTATCACACCATTCACAAGGCTAAACACTGAGCCCCTGTGTTTGTAAAGACTTGAAACTCTCCTTCATCCATCATCAGCATGTTTTGGAAGCACTTTTTTTCTAATCCGCTCCTGTCAGGCAGACACTGTGTGTGTGTGTGTGTATAAGCCAGAGGGTTTGTGTGAAACAGCATTTTAAAGCCAGAGGCATGTAACCATTTGAGCTTTATTTGATAGCACAACCTCAAGGTGTTTTTTTTCTCCTCACATCTTACAGAACAGAGATTCATAGAGTCATCTGGTAGATTTAGCTGTTTCTCCATGAAAGAAACTCCATGTTCAAACGTCCATACCTGTGGATGATTGTTTTATTTTTAGCTTACTCTGCTTCATGTCATTCCAAACCTGTATGACATTTTTTCTGTGCAACACAAAATAAGATATTTTGAAGAACTTTCTGGCCCAGATGAAATTGGAGACATTTTTATAAATAGCATTTTTTTGTGTTTCACATAAGAAATTAAGTAATGTATGATTGGAATGACATGAGGAAATGATGATAAAATTTTGAATTTTTTTTACCATGGTAAAAACACATTAATGCACAGCATCAAGTAACTTGCTTTTTTAAAAGCAGCAACAGCTGTATGATAAAAGTCACCGTTGTTTAATAAATAATCAAACATATTGAAAATAATAATCACAAAATTCTCAGTTAATATTTGGTAACTGACTTTTTTTAATCACTGAAACAACTCATTCCCTATAGACATTTCACTCCGTTAATTAAACTGTCAATGTTGAAAGAATAAAAGCGTAATATCCCTTTATAAAACGTATCATTGTACATGACTTCAGAGTATTAATTTAATAAGCAACCCAGTAAGCCCACAAGCAGAATCATATCCGTGTCATTTCAGCCCTGTTTATATGGATTAGGTTGCTTTGGTCTCGGTGTCGCTCTACAGAGTCTTCTCCTCCCTGGTGTGTTTCCGTATCAGGGGACAGTGAGCAGAGTGGGACACTCTCAAAGCTCCCTCGTCTGAAGTTGAAAGAGCCCTCTTTTTCCCTTTCAGATGGAAAGAGCAACTCAGTAAGTGGTCCTAAGACCATTTAAAATCTTTTCAAAGCTTCTAGTAAGCATGTCTTTATTTGCTGTAAAATTGTATGAAATGAGCAAGAGCAAAGCAATGTGTAATGCTTGAAAAAGAGAGAGATTTCTGTGAATCTCAAGAGGTGTTTGGAAAAGCCATCTTTGGACCGGATCACTCACTTGGAAGCTCATGGTTTCCAAAGTAGTGTTAAGATTTGCTCTGAGGATTGTGGGTTTATACACATTTTAGATGTTTTGCATGTTTTAAGTCACGTGCAGGAGGCTGTTAAGCACCTTTCCTTGTGGAATGCAAGAGACTGAGAGCGATAGTGAGAGAGAGAAACATGAGTAATGATTGCAGTAAGAATGATGAGGTCGGAAAAATGTAAGCTGTGACATTTTTAGATATGTGCAGCACAGTCTAAACCCCAGGCTTAATTTTAATATATATGCAAGCATGCTCCCGGTCTTATTACACATCTGCACAGTCAATACCAAACTAGTTTCATTACACACACTCAGAGCTGTCTGACTGAATCAGACTCCTCTGTGGTAAATGTGTCTTGGAATAGATACTTATGAGTTTAAAGTGTCCAGGGTAAGTGACTGTGAGATAGAAGGAGATAATGTAAACACAAGAGAAATAGAGAGACTGTGTCAATACCCAGTGAGCTGCCTCCTTAGACATCATTTTTGAACATAAAAAAAAAAAAACTTTCAAAATCTTTTAAGCTGCCCACTTGGACAGCATGTTTGAGGTTAACATTTATGCATTTAGCAGAAGTGTTTCAAGACCTTGCAGTTTACAGAGTTTTGGGGCTTCGTAGACATGGTTTCTCAAAAGAAAGTAAGCTGCCCAAGCAGTTTCTGGGCAGATTAAGCACAGTGTCTCATAACCTAGTGAGCTGCCTACTGTTTTTTCTGGAAAATAAGTCACACCTAAATATATTTTGCACCGAAAAAAGAAAAGAAAAAAACGTTGCATCAGTGTGTGTGTATATATCACATTTTGTTATTACTTTCAGAAATAATGTAAAATACTGGTAAATAAAAAATAATAATGATAACGATAATAATAATAAAAAAAATGTACAAACATCATAAACAAAAAAACATATTTTTTCCCCTCACTTTACAGCAAATCATTTCTAAGAACCAATAAACGTTAGCAAATCTAAACACTATAAACAAGCATTTTATTTCCACAGAAAATACATCCCAAAGACCAAGAAACATTAGCAAATCTAACGGTATTGAGAACAGAACAGAGATGAAAAATGTAAGTTTGAAACGATAATAAATTATTATAGCATTCAGTATAAACTGCATTTATTATAATCACCAAACCTAAACAAAATTAGAGTGAAACCTCACTCCACTACGTCTGTCATTGGGCACAAATCCAAATGTGTGTGCCATTTTGCTTTTGCATTCTAATCTTGACATTAACTATATTATATTAGTCTTTTTGAAAGTTAATATACATATAAGGAATACAATTCAGATACAGTACTTAGACCCCATTTCTGGACATTAGCCCATGGTGTGTCAAAAGAGTTATAGCAATTTTAGACTTTGTAGGTACTGTCACAAATCCTACTGAAGTGCCTATACTTAAACAGCAAAAATACTTAGTAGGCAGCTCACTAGGTTTCGAGACGCCATATTTGTAACTCCCATAAGAGTGAGAATAGCCTGTATGTGAGTGAGAGGAACTCTAGGAGAATACTTGAGTATCTGTGAGGGAAGCCTGAAAACACATTTTGTGAAAACAGGAACTCAAAACAGGATGAGTGTAAGTAAGGGAAAGAGATGTTATTTGAGTCTGATTATGGGTGTGAGCATACAAATTGTGAGCAGGCGAATGCAGGTTTTGTGTGAGAGAGAGAGTGAGGACACTAAAAAGTAAGAAGCTTCTCTGCCTCGGTGGAGCCCACGTCTGTCTGTTCTGCTGTGTACCGTGTGTGTGTGTGAGTGACAGCATCCCGAGAAGTTATCCGCACGGCAGTGGAATAGTGTTCATCACCGCCGCTATAATTAATCGCACTGCAAATGAAAAGCAGCAGTCAGACCCTGAACAAGCCCCACCACTGCACACACTGGGTACACATGCTTGGAATGGGTCAGGCTGGGCGACTAGTCCACCTATGTGACTAGATGATTAGCTTGTCTAGAATTTTTTCCCTACATTTCTGCTTTAGTATTAACATCTTAATGGTAGTGATTAACTGTAAGCCACATTTCTGTTAAGATTTCCATTGTTGTGAGGACTGTATAGTTGACTGCACATTGTTGCTTGCAGTCTGCACTATATTTTGTTGATTTATACATGTAGATTGACTTCAGTGTTTCGTGTCTTGTTGTTTTTGTCCGTATGTTTGTGCGCCATTCTGTATTATATTGAAAATGTTTTGTTAACGCAAGTTCTATTGGAATTGAAGTAGCGAACATAACT